ATTATTTAAGTGTACTTAAAATTATGCTTTGAGTGTATTTTTAAGTATAATTTTCAGCACAGTTTTTTGGTAATGGTTTATTACCACTGATTCGTATCATAGTACATTACAATCATGCACTGTATCAGCAAAGCATCGTCACCATAATTGTCACAATTTCCAAGTATAGTAGTTAACCAGTAGCACTACTGATGAGTTAACAGTTACTAATATGAATAATTCTTTTTTTTTTATTAATCACATTTCTCCTTATGAAACTTATACTATTACTTCTTAACTTCTGTCTGCTTATTTCACTTTAAAAGTGTGCCAAAGTTTTATAATGACAGTGAACACTGTTTACTCTGAAATTCAAAGAGCTGTGTGTTGGTGTGCTTCTCACTAAAGTTGACACTTGTATATATTAAAAGTTCCATAAAACCCTTGGCAAGATATTTTCCCAATATTCCATTATATCCTTTCGACCCCTGAAAATAATTGCACATATTCCTATTTTTATAGATTAAATTTTAAGGTTTGTATTAAAATAAATAAAAAAAAAATGTTGATTCAGTTATTTTTCGTTTTCTTATGTTGATATATGCAAATGAATGGAAACTTGTTGATAATCACGCTGACTAACCGTACATGGCACTCTGTTTTCAGAGTTCACAGACTGAACCTCCATATACCGATTGACTCATTCTAACAAAGTATTTATTTTTAATTAATAACCTTCACATATATCTTTACTCAAACGTAATTTAGTTTGCGGCAAACTCCGCTCTTACTCGCGGCGAGTAGCGGTGCATTAGACTGCGTCAAGACTTTGATTCACTTGGGTGTGATTATAAAGAAACGTGATATGGAGGGAAATAATATGGTTCATTTAGCAGCTTTGAGATTCCACACTAATGTTTTGGAATATTTTATTGAATGGGATCATCCCGATGTCCAAGTATGGCATACACTTGTCAGTAAGTATCTTATTAATTTACTGTTTATGTATGTAGTGTACACAGTACTTGATTAGATCACATGCATTAAACAAATCATAGTGGTTAAAACATTTTTAATTGGAGTTTTAATTAAAATCTTCATTCTATGGTGAAAATTAACTCCTGTATGACCTAAAGTTCTACTATGAGTGTTAATACTACGGGTAGAAATTTCTCATTGATATATTCAAAATGAGTTTATTGTTCTATATAAAAAAATTAATATATTGCTGGTCAGCATGCTCACGATCAAATAGTGTGGGTCGATCTTATTGTTTTTCGCTTACTTTGCCGCTGTACAATAATGATTTGATAATCCTGCAAAATTCGTGCCCTGAAAAAAAAAAAACATTGACCAGAAATATTTCTTTATTTGCGACCCCTCACTGAAACAAATCAAAATATTCGACCGTGTATTAATTTTGTAACAACAACAAATGTTTGGATATATTTTTATGATTTTGGTGGGCTTTGATTTAAGAAGGCCAGCAACTGGAGAGTCTTTTCAAATATGGAGCTACATATATTTGATGTGAATTGTACATTACAGTGCTGACGATTTATTTGTGGTTCTTTGCCCTTAGCTATGATGGCATCAAATGATTTGAAGAAGATAGACAGCTCTGTCAGATCTTTAGAAATATTATCAACAGTCAGACAAGGACACTGGAAGTCAATCCTAGATGCAGGTGAGTTAAACATGTTCTAATTTTATCATTTGCTTGAAACCAGAAAATATATTATAACCCTTTTTTTTTAAATTAAATTTTTTTTAACCAATTTGCCTGTTTTTATATATTGTTCTATGATTGTTTTCATAATTTTGGACCAAATTTTTATAATATCTTATCGGCCAAAGACCTTAATCAAATTTTGGTTGAAATATAGACAATATTATGTGAATGGTGAAGAACAATTAACTTTGGCAGTCAAAGGGTTAATACTATTATGGTCATTCTTGTTAAACTGTGTCTACTGAAATTGTTTTGTTACTCATTTGCTTGAAATTTTAATTTACCAGTGATTTTTTTTTTTTTTTTAATTCTAGGTGGTATACCTGCCCTAGTGAATATCCTAAAATTGGAAAACGAGGAACTACAATCCTTAGCTGCATCTGTCATATGTAACATATCTGAACGACAGGAAATCAGAATTGCCGTTATCAGAGGCCAAGGCTATACCTATCCTCATCCAATTACTTCGGCTCGCCATTGGACGATATCCAATCCAGAGCGGCAATAATCTTGTCGGATTTAGCATGTGTGATGGATAACCAAACCGAGATATCTGCACAGAATGGGATACCAGCGATGATCTATCTTTTAGATTCTGAGTTAGAGGAAGTCTTGGTCAATGCAGTGAATGCGATCCGTGTTCTATGTACTAATCATGACGGCAACCAAACTCTAATTGCAGAAAATGGCGGCATTGATCCTTTAGTGGAGTTTTTAACCATTGAGTCACGTAAGTTTTTATGTTGATATACATCCTATGCATAATTTTTTGTGTTGATTTATTTTATAAAAGAAGATAGCAAAGAAAACTTTCTAATGGTTCAGCACGTGTTTTAACCAATTATTCATTGGTTTTCGCAAAAATACTAGAAAAAAGAAGTCTCTACTTTAGTGTCTCTTACATTACATTATCAACAAATTATTGTGTATATTGTCATCTCTGAGTTTGACATAAATTCTTGTCACATCCTTGCTTACAATGATTATTTTGTTGTTTGTTTATTCAATACTGACTTTACATCTTGTTTATAATATCAACTTTCTTGTTTATATATGGACATTATATTTGCCATGTGTTGGGGCGAGATGCAAATAATCGGTGTTTTTGCTCATACGGTAGTTGAATTGTCTAGTTAGACATCAAAATGTTTTCCATAATTATCATTCCATTTGATGTATTATTTCTGTGCAGCAATAGCTTTGATGTTTAGTTTAGTTTTAGCATATTTCTATTATATCATATTTAACCTTTCTGACATTATGATCAGTAATTGGTTTAGAACCGACCTATCACAACTTTAGTTTTGGGTCATGTGATACTTGAGAACCTCGTGGTTCTGACATTATTATTATTATTTTTTGTTGTTTCAAGCCGATGTCAATATTTCCCGTTTCGTAATTCAATAAATGTCAATCCTAACATCGACTCGTAGTGGCTATACTCGGAGCCAAATCACAGCCACACCATGCTTCACTAATGCTGACACCTTTAATTCCTAAAATAAAAGATTAAGCCATATAATCCTGTTCAAATTGCATCAACACCAGAACTACACATTTTCCAATTAATACATAAACACAAAATATCTCAATGATTGGTGATAACATTTCATAACGTTTATTTGTTATGTTTTCTTTTCTCCAATGGACCATCTTTATAGAACCGGACAGTCATCCAGGTATACCAATTGCTAGCAGTGTCCCAGTAATTTCTGTCTTGAAAACTTTCTTTACAGTTGATTTGCCGTGATTTCTTCACTTTCAGTGTGATGTGACTTTCACTTCAGGTTTCAATTTCTCTGTGGCTAATTGAAATTTTTCATTATGTGTTATCGAAGAATTGGAATGTCATATTGTTAACAATGGTGCCGGGTATTCCATATAACATGGGAGTTAAACAAAAAATCTCCTGCATGACATCAGTATTAAATGGGTTAATAAATGGGCATAGTACCAATGTCATGGACATCATCCGGATCTGATTAATATTTATTTTTATTAATCTCCTCATCGTACTCCTGAAAGGAATAAAACAAAATAATTACATTTTGATAATACAGTTAAAATTAATACAGTAATACAGTAAAAGTAATAACTTAATGATGTGTTTGGTTTGGGAATACTGCATTTGCTCTATTAGAAGCGTAACTCCAACAGTGAGGTTCTTACAAGCGAAACACAGTGCATCAAATTTATTCTGGGACTTTATGTATAAAGCACAGTCACTTCTAATAGAGCAAATACGTTATATAGCTAATTGCATGCATTCTGAATTGTTGATTTTTTTCCTGTTCTCAAGTTTATTTGTAGTTTGCCTCTCGAAAACTGGGGGGATTGGCTGGCAGATTTTTGTGAAAAAATCATTTCTTGTGGGTAAAGAAAAAAACAAAATGGCATGCTTATGTGAATCAAATATTTGCAGAAAAACAAATTTCACTGCCCATATAAAATATTGATATTATAGTATAAATATTGCTCAGATTTGTTAGTAATCAGTAATTGTGTCTAAAAGTTATAAGATATTATGAATTACATGTAATAATGGGAAACAAGGTGATTAAGCTAAAATGTATTACATGGCAAAATGAATATTATTGAATAGTAAACACTATAAACACACACCTTACTGTTGATTTGTGCTTTGCATGCTGTGTGTGTTTACTATAACTCTAAAAATGTTTACTTTGTCATGCGTCCATGTACATTGGCTAAAGTGGGAATAGTCCAATATTTATAATATCTATTTTCTATAAAACTATCATATTTGTTTTCATGCTTTTTTCATTCTTTCAACCATATTTAATTAATAATGATATTTTTAACTAAACAGACATCTTGCAAGCAGCGGCCGCATCTGGTCTTGCTGCACTTTGTGCTGGTCATCGGGAAAATCAAGACCGAATAGTCACCCATGGGGCTGTTGGGCCACTGGTGCAACTTTTGAAATGTCGTAATGTTACCGTGCAGGTTAAAGCGGCCAGCGCATTGGAAGCATTGGCTGAGAACAATCCTGATAGTCAAGCCGCCATTTTGAAACTCAACGCTCCTAAACCACTCATTAAACTACTGAAGGTATTTACTACTGTAAAATAATTTATTTTAGCTGGAATTAATTTTTGCTACTAAACTTTTTGGGTGTTTGTATGGAGGTTATTTTCGCTAATTTTTGATGAGTTGAATATAAATTATAGAAAATAAGGTATATTCGCTGGATTCTATTTTTACTCAATTACCCCTTCAGCAAAAATAGCGAAAAATAATTCTAAGTAAAAATAAAGTACTTTACAGTAACTATCCGATTTTTATGTCATTGTATGAAAATAATTTTTAAAAATATAGTTTTTTTTTGTGTCTTCTCAAAAACTACTCGTCTTATTAGTTTTATAGTATAAAATAAACATGAGGCTTGAACACCCGCCCCACAATTACGAGGAGTAAACATATTTCCATCTCAACTAGTGTATTCTTTAAGTGGTCTGATGTTTATAGATACGTTGGTTTTTGACTATCACTGTAATGGGTTGATAAATTGTATAATGTAGGTATGGACGCAGGAAGTGAAAGAACAAGGTGCATGTACTCTATGGGCTTTAGCTGGGCATACAACCAGACAACAGAAAATGATTGCTGAACGAATCGGTATAAACCAGTTAATAGACATGCTGTTGTTGCTTAAATCTGAAAAACTACAATATGTAGGTGAGTATTTAGACGATAAACCTTATGTTCGTAAAACTTTGTATGTCTCAGTTCACATAATTCAGATTTACATTATGCCTTTCTTCAAAATTTACCATCATGTGTACCGCATATTACTAAGTGTGGAAATACCCCCAAAACACTTTCTCATTTGTCTCATTAGATGTTTTGACACCATTATGACTTTTGTTTTTACGTTCAATTTCATCCGTAATGCTTGATCTCACAGTATGTTCATATTAAAACTTACAAATGTGTAAGTTATAAATAAAAACACACACATTTCCTCTTTAAAAATAGATATGTGTAATTTTCTGCTTTCAGTAAATTTTCCCCAAGAGTGCGAACACATTTTAATACCACAGATGTGCAGCTTACTGCTTCCATTGTCCACAATCTGACATATCTGATATATTTGTTTTACCTCCAGGGGGCATGGCGATGATAGCGTTGTGTAGAACTGACATCATTAATCAGAACAGAATCAAAGAAGAGAATGGTATAAGTCCACTTGTAAGATTACTAAGATCACACAAGACATCACAGAGAGTTCTTTTAACTATTATTAGAAGTCTTGGCACGCTCTGTGTGGGTATGTACCTCTTGGTTTTGTATGTTTAATATAAGCATGCTTGAAGAGCTTTTTAAAAGCACTGATCTGCAATCCCTGGGATTACACCAGTGCATCATGGTAATGAAATTTGAATCTCGCCCATAGTTTGCTATGTATACAAGCGTTATCAGAGGCGTTATGCTGATGTGCTAACATCTTACATACACCATTGTCTGCCGTAAAAGAATGTACCGCATTGTCCGAAAAAAATTGGATAAACTTTTTGATTTGAACAAACTTGTGATTGATCATCATTTTGGCTGTTTAAAACACGTACACCTCATCATCTTTTAGATGAGAATCTTGCCAAACTAAAAACCGAACTTTAAAATCGTATTCTATAAATATTCATGATTGTATGCACACATATTACGCATCTGCCGTGCACGTACATTTCTGTAAGGGATTCATTATGATTATCAAAAAGAGCCATTTAATGAAGGAATCTGACTGGTACATGATCGAAGTATTATTCGCATAATGAAAACTGGTTGCCATTGTTTTTCTACTAGGAGATGGTTTAATGAAATCAGCTTCAACTATCACATGTTCATGGATGTTTCGAACCATTACTAGAAAAGTGAAAGCAAATTTCAATGTTGAATTAGTTTTACACAATAGCAACTGTGCTATAAAGTTCTCATTATTTATTCATCTTCTGGTTTCTTTCAGGTGTAGCACATCGAAATAATAAAGTCACTCAAATGAAGATAGCAGAGGAGAATGCTATCTCAACACTGGTCAATTTGATGGTAACTTCAGACAATGAAATGGTCAAAGTGGAGGTTGCTATCTCATTGGCCTGTATCATACTGGGAAATAAGGAAAACCAAAGGCTGCTCATAGAAGAACCGTCATTTACATTTAGTTTTCTGTTAGATCTTTTCAAATCAAGGGATGAGGTGAGACTGATATAACTTGTAAGGTATAGATTGAGCTATTGCATAATGATTTCTGCATGGCTGGCACTTGTGTAAACTGCTAAGCTGCCTTCTACCTCTATGTTGAAAATTGTGATATCAGAAGATGATTTTTTGTATATAACCTTATGCCCTAAATGGACAGTACCACCTTGTAATAGGTCTTATGCGTGACTTGTATAAGGTCACACATCCTGGTACTTTCTAGACTTACAATTTCTTGATTATGTTCCATCAAAATTGTCAGCAGTAGTCATTGAAAAACTCTTTGAAACACTGAAGTTAACTTTCGTAACATTTCACACAAAAAAACATGCATAATTTTTCACAAATTTGGATCAAAACCTGTAGATTATAAAAACTTTGTTCTTTTGGTCCAAAATTAATATGAAATTACTGAAAAATACATGAAATTGTGTAAAGTATTTTACCAAAATTTTGGAGGGAAAAATTATGGCATACATGTAGTATAATATTAGAGATTATTTCTGTTTGAGGTCAAAATTACAGATTACCAGGATGTACATGTATGACCTTTTTAGATCAACATGTGATGTTGCGTCTTCTAAATATTTTTTCTAGATTGTGAGATTGAAGGCAGGAACAGCGTTAGCAACATTTGCATTTAACAACACAACTCAGCAGTACGCAATCCGAGAGGCAGGTGGTATTAGAATGTCATCATTTGAACCATTTCTTAATGCAGAAAATGAATCCTACCAAGCTAACGCTGCATTTCAGGTGAGCATATTTATCACATTCAACATGTTTTACTTGTCTTTCTTGACCCCCTGAACTGCCACTGTGTTTATACCAGTCCCAGCTGACCCCTGAACTGCCACTATGTTTATACTGGTCCCAGCTGACCCCTGAAC